CACTGAGAAGAGCCTGGCCCCATCCTCTTGCTACCTGCCCTTTAGCTATTGCTCAGCATTGATGAGGTCCTCTCTCACTCTGCTCTTCTGCAGGAGGAACAGCCCCAGGGCTGTCAGCCTTTCTGCATAAAAAGAGGAAATTAAAACTCACTGCATTACATTCACCGCATCTGGTCAAGTTATCAGAACAAAAAATGGCAAAAAAATTGGGAAGCATCTACTTAAATACACAGCTCAGGTAAGAATGAGTGGAAATAGCTTTGAACAATAGCACATTAGGCTTTATGTTTGCTTCTGGTTTTCTTTATATTATTATTTAAAGAACAGTCATTTAATACAAGCATTATCAAAGAAATATAATTACATAAAATTTTTAGGACATTGGAAATAAAGCCTTGTAATAAGACTGATTTTGAAGTCCACACAGACTTATTCTTTCAACATATATTTCTAATGCATTTTACAAGCCTTCCATTTCTCAAGGAAGACAGGCTCAACAATTACAAAATCACTTAATTGTCCTCCAAAAATGCCAGATATTCTTTAAAAGTGCACTTCTTAAGAGTTTGGTCATTTCTGTCCAAAAAATGACACAACAAGATGTCATTATTACCCTGAGGTGGATATTCTTGCTTTCTAAGAAGTGTTTTCAAATAGATAATTATCTCTCAGACTTTAGACAATGACAACTGCATCTGCAAGACAGTGTCTCGCTCTGCTTGCTCAGAAGTTGGGGTAAAACTGCCCGAGACCAGCTATGATGGAAAACCAGTCAGCCCATCAACCTTCAGCAGGCTTCAGATCCCATCAAATGTATGTGGGAATTCAGAGCCCATGAGTGGCCCTGAGCAGGCAAGCTGGTGGCCACCGGCACTACAACGGAAGACAAAACCATTTATTAAATTGCATTTGTTATGGATCTCAAACCATCTGGAGTACGCTGTTCTTTCCAATTCTCTCTGCATTTTTTAAGTCTTTAAATCACATTCCTCCTCCCCCCCACCCCCGGCCCCAATCTGATTTGTCAGACAAGTCACAATGGTCCTATTTCACAGGCAATTGACCCACGGTTGTTAAAAACTTGCTGCTCTTGAAACTCTAAGCAGATATGAAATATCACAACATCGACATTTTTCTGGACACTACTCTGTCTACATCCTGTGCAAACAGGAAAAAAGTCAGCAACAGGTGGAAAAAATCCCTACTATTTCTCTTTTCCAACAGAAACACACCACTTGCTCTGGCTCTGCCAAAACCTGAGATATTTAATCATATTTAATCATATGGTAAGAAATATATTCATGCTAGAGATTTTCTAAACCCTTCAGTAATACTCTTTTGCTCTTTCCCCAGAATCTTTTAAGCTGGGGACTTGCTTCTGCAATAGCTTTGCTATCAAGTATGGCATATATAGGTTAGAACACCATAAAAGTTTAATCAGCCCTTTTCTGAGTTAAGTTCACTAATGGGTTTGTCGAATTAACCAGACCAGAATTGTGTAAATATATCATTAAACCCCATTTTGCTCTTGCATATTACCTGTCTCTTAAGAGTGTATTCACCCTCTGGTTTGGTGTTTTATATATTTACAAAGACACTCTAAACATTTGTCTTGAGAGAAAAATTGCATCGAATAAGAAAAACTTCTGTGGTAACTCTGGGATCTTATAACTTGTAAATTAGCAGTGAAAGCACTGAGATAAGTCTTTGGGAGTATATTTGAAGTTTTAATGAAAGAGTCAGATTACAAAAAGCCATAGTGGGTGTCTTATACGAGGAAGCTTTAAAGTTAGTTGCAATGTATTAAAAAACAACATTCAAATAAATTATTTTTCACTGCAGTATGCCAAGTTTTTGGAGATAGAATTAAAATTGGGCTTTCATTTTAGACCAAGTAAAGCATAATATTAGACTATAATACTGCATGTACTAGTGAGATCCAAATGCCCACGGTGTTGCAAGAGAACATTTTCCCTCAGGCATTTGAAATTTAATGCTTCTTTAATATTCTCTGTTGGATATTGTTAGAATGGAATTTCAAATATTTCCTGCAATTTGAGTTAAAGATTACTGAATAATGCTGAGCAGCAAAAAATATTTGAAGCATACATCTAAAGCTGGCATAGTAGCTTAATGTCCTGTTGTTTCTTGCTTTAGCAAAATTAATTTCTACAGTCTTCAACCATGAATTCAAGCACCACCTGGAGATACAAACCCATAATTTAACTGTGGTGTATTTCTAGCTCCCTTGACTAATACACTGAGGCTAGACCCCGTATGGCAGCTATGAAGGGAAAAGGCCATTTCATAGCAATACTTTATATTCTCCTAAGTCAGACAGCGAGCAACTTGAAAAACAGTATCTGGCCCATTACTGTAAATAATTGGGATTACCTGTCATGAAATAAATGTACAGGGTTTTGCCTATATTAAAAATATATACTCTACCCTATAGTCAGGAGCAACACCTTTCCAATAGGACCCAAAGTATTCAAAAGGGTTTTTGTCCAACTGAGATCCAACCTTTCCACCATAAATCTGTTAGTGCATTACCATGGTTACTCCATAAAGGTAAGGGTGGACTGCACATTAAACCTAACAAAAAGGCATAGTTTTATCATTCTAGAAACGAACCAGTAAAAGACAAACTATAATCATGACTCCCTTTGCTTGATTCCTTCACGGAGAAGCCTCCTTCACTCAAAGACGAAGCTACTTTCTTTTCCACCATTTGTGCCCACAACATAAGGGGGCACACTCCCAATTTCGTTCCACAGCCATGATTCCCTTATCATTCATACAGACCACACTCGTTCCTTGGTGCTCTCCTCCAGAAAGCATGCCAGTTCCCCTCAAAACAGCTACGAACGCTGCTGCAGGCAGTAACACTATCCAGAGTTCAAATGAACTAATTCCTCAACGCCATCCCAGCCAGACAAGGCCCCTCAAAACGCCTTCATGAAACACCCCAAACTTTTAAACATTGATCTTCGGTCTCATGTGGTAAAAAAAAAACATTCTCATGGGTTCCAACAACGACCCTCATCAACACTCCGGACTGAAAACCCAGCAAAAATATATGTGTGCATGTTTTGGAGCTGCAGGAAACTTGAAGTTATGTGGCATGGGCATGGCCAATAGACTCCATGCAGCTGGATTCACAGGCCTCTGGTTTTATTAAGGGACGAGGACAGCTGAGCCTTACAGAGTGCAACTGATTGAATACAAGCCTGTGCAGAAATCAAGTACTTGTGTTTACCTGAGCAGAATGAATAAATACCATTTCTTCTTTCTTTCCCCAAGGATCAGTAAAAACACTGAATATGGACAGTACTATAAGCAACTCTAAAGCCATCCACAGACTCTGCTGCTGCTTAAAAATCAATTTGGATAAGGTTTCCAAAAGCTGGCCAGATACCAAAATGAATCTGCGGAGCAGCAGAAAAACCTCCATATAGGAAACAAAGTGTTTAGATTGCATTTAAGCTTATTGCTGATAAATTCATGTTTTAAAAACCGTGTTTCACATAGGAACAATATCATTAAGATAAAAATTTATCAGTATTTTCCTTCTGTAAAGAGTTAGTTTTTAAAAAAATAACTTTCAAAAGCCAACATCATAAGACATCATTCTCCCTCCCCAGATATTTCTATTGATATTTTCCTCAAAATATCATTCATTATTCAGGGGGGGAAAAAAGGGAGAAAAATTCAATCTGTATAATGGCAGCTACTAACAACTCAGTTCTGTGAAAATATACAAACAAATACAAGTGGATATTGTAAAACAAGCTGAAATATCTTAAGCAACCTGTGTGATCATAATTTATAGAAATAACCTTAATGAGAACAGCACTTGTAATTATGTGACAGGTTTGGCACAGAAGAGCACTCATCTGTCACTGACACGGAAAGGATGGATAAAGGAAGCAGATGGATTCACCCACCTGCATTGAGTCTAAAAAAATGGAAAGTAATCATTATGGCTCGTGACTTTTTGTATCAAAAGTTATTGCTTGATTATCAGGTTATCATCAACAAGTGCAAAAGAAAGTCATTTAACAGAAAAGCAAACATTTATTTTCAGTAGACGCTGTTTTGCCACTAGACTAAATGCTTACTTCAATTTAAAAAACTTACAAGGACATCAGCTTAATGGCTAAGTCTAGGTTTTGGGTTTGGTTTGGTTTTCTTTAAATTGTTGTAATGAATTAACTTAAGATTACAGGTTTGATTTTGTAGAACTTGAATTGTTACACAGATCATTTCTTCCTTAGAATACCAACCTGCCTCTTCTGATTGGGTTTAAAACACATCAACACTTTTGCTAGGTTTTCTAAAACAGGAGGAAATGGAATGAAGAAGCCACTGCACGATACCAAGATAATTTTTAGATGGTCATAAAAAAAGCAGATTTTTGATTACACATATGCTTACAGCTAATGCATTAACGTGCTAATTTTACTGAACAGGAACATATTAAAAGAGGCTGGCTCAATCTTCATTCAAATTTCTCAAAAGGAAGCAATGCAATGCATATGGCTTGGAAACCAATACAACAATTCCGTAACACTCCAAAAATCAAATGAACCGAGGTAATATATAATTTCTTGCAATCAATGAATAGGAGGCATTCTTTTTACATAAATCCCTAATCTAACACTCTTGTGGCACTTTAGTTGGGAAGTCACATTTTCCAAGAAAATCGCTTTATTGCTTTTACACAGTCTGCATGGAAAAAGGTATCTTTAGATGTATTTTAATGCAAGTGTTTCAAATAGTTAGCTAATTGAATCCATGTTGTCCAGGTTACAGACTGGTAGTTTTCATCACAAATGTACATTTAGGTTCTATGGTCTGGAAACCCACTTAGCAGAACAGCAGACAGCACATATAAAAAAGCATTTTCTCTCATATTGGTGCCATTCCCCTCTCTGAAAAGGATGCTTTTACTCCTCCCCTTTTTTTTCTCTGGCAAAAACCTCTACCACTTCACCTACCATGGGAAGCAGTACAGAATTCACTCAGAAGCTACAAGTCACAACCTCCACCACACATGGACATTAGTGAGTAGAAAATCCACACATTGTTGTCACAAAACATCTGTTCAACCAAGAAAAAGACAGATTTGTGTTAAGGTAAAGAAGCATCCAGTAAGACCATTTTTGATACACCAGGAACACAATTCTTCTGTTCTCTTTGTTATAAATCAGAGGTCAACTTTGCTGAATTTACAGCCAATATACCAAAGTCTTTGCACACGTGTGAGTGTTTTGGTTGTTTTGTTTTTTTTTTTTTTTTACCAGGCATTCCCTATATGCTGTACTTCTAAGTAGTGTGAGAAGAAAAGCCTCCAAAAATGGTTCATAGATGGCACATGACTGCTGTTACCAAGCCACTGAGCTGTGAGCATCAGGCCAAGCACCTGAGATCTACCTACAGCAAAGGAGGCCTTCACTGTTACAGTGTCCTCTGGCAAAAACACAACGGCATTTGTACTATTTCGAAATAAGAAACAAAAAAGAACATTCTCATCCCAATTTTTATTAAGATTTGACTCATCACCACTTCATAGAGATTACTAATAAATATTACAAGCACCCTATACATAATTTGTGTCTGTTCATAGTCCGTAGGCACATGAGTACAGAATATTTTATGGCATCTTATCTACCTATTAAAAACATATTAAAGGCTGTATAAGCAATTAATGAATTATTAATTACCTCTATTTATGTAAAATCCCAACTAAAGTATAAAGAAGTAAAAATGAAGCCATAGGATAAAATGAAACCAGTTCCACAGAAGGTAAAATTTCTCTTTACGAATGAAAGATTTCTGAACCACAAAAAAAAAAAAAAAAAAAAAAGAGTTATAACCAGAATTTCTAGATGCACATGTTTCTTCACACCATTTACTACCTATGCAGTATCACATAACTGAAGTTTAGAAAGGAACAGTGAAAATTAGTTCTGGACATTAACACTAGGAATACAAAAAAAATAAGTCATGCGTAAAAATATTAATTCTTAACAAAAACATACTTATTTTCATTTTCTAAATTAAGATTTTAATTGTTCTTGCTTATATCTGTCTTTATAATTTTTAACTCTATTGCAGATTTCTCATGTACATTCAAAAATGGTTTTTGATCCTCTTAATCCCATTGCAGTGGGTTTTTTTAATGTTTTATTTTAAAAATCCCTTATTATTGTTATTCCCTTGGATCATAACCCAGAAGAGGCTTCCAAAACTGTTCAAATTCTACTATTATTTCTAGGATTGAACCTGGTCATTATACAGTTAATTTTTTTTACATAGTCTTAAACATTTTAAGCGTTAATTATATCACACAGACTTAGCTAAAAGAGACATGTTTTTGTATTAAAAATTGTAAGTCAATGCATGAGATAAAGAAAAAACTGTGTTATACATGGAGATCATAAAAAAATAAATTCACAAATTATTGAAAATTAAGTGTAAAAACTTACCTAAAAAAATTCATCAATTTCTATAGATGGCAATGAAGAAAAAGAAAATCCCATCCAAAATAAAGTTAAAGAACACAGCCAGCTGTTAACAGAAAAGAATTCATTTTAAAATATAAAAAAAATGAAGAGAGCATTCTGGCAGACTCTCCTTCAAAACTACTAGCTGCCTTGAAAAATAATGCTTAATCTCCACAAAATGGAGATTAAAACATCTTGAGTATTAAGTGTAATGTTTAATTACACCAATTTCCAAGTAATTCAATATCTTTTGAGTGCAAAAACTGTAAAATGTATTTCAAGAATTTGCTGAGAGCCCAATCCACATGCACACTAAATTTCCATTAGTTCTTCTGCATATAATATATTTCCATTTATGCAGCTCTCTGGCTTAAAGTGCTTCACAGAAGACACATACTAATAAAACATGGGGGAAGCATTAAAGAATACTAAAAAATTACACCAAAAAAAAATATTGGCAACAGAAGATGCAGAATTGGCAAGAAAATTATGAGACAATAACAAACTGGAGGAAATTTGAAGACTGTGGCAAAGCTGACAGGAAAAACAGCATTAAATTTAATAAATATCCAAGAATCCGAAACTTTGAAAAGGTGTTAAGTATAATAAATCAGCAAAAATAAGTCAAAGACACCACACTTCCTTAAGATAAAAAGCAGAGATTTGGAAGATTGGGTTGCAGAAACTCGAACGCTGTACGTTTATAGATTCTTACGGTGATAAGGATCTGAAGACAGAGGCATGATTTAACAGCGTGAGAAACAGTACCAAGAACCAACACTTCCTACAACACCGAAACACTTCTATCCAGAAGCAAAGCATATATTTTAAAAACTGAAAAACACCAGGAAAAGCAGTTGTCAAAACCAGTTGGGGAGACAAAAGCTTCTCTCATTTATTTTTGTACATTTACATTTTGCTTAAGGCTTAATGAGTAGAAACAAAATTTCAAGCCAAGTAAGAAGGAAATAGTAGAATTGTTAGTTTTCACTAACTTTAAAAATTATAGCACATTCATAAAAGGCAAAACTTTAAGGTACCTTTAGCTAAATCAGCACAAAAGACAGTGCAGTCTTAAACCCATTTAACTTTATCTTGGACTAATTATACTGGGAACAGATTTAAAATAATCTACATGGCTCTGACAAACAAAAGTATTTACACATGGCTTTGCACCATATTCATTACAAATCACTTTTAACACAAGACGTTGTTATCTTCAACAACAAGTAATTCAAGGACCACAAGCTTGGGCAAAAAAGGACTGAGAATGAAAACAGAGCCTTACCTACAGAAGAAAGTTCAATTAGTTTAACTGAAACCCACTAAAACAATACAACCTGCTATGCTGGCAGACACAAATCATTTTACAGCATGCTAACATTGATTTAACTGAAAATTGATAAGGAATCCATTTGAACTGAACCAATTATGCTGAGTGGAAATTACCTTAAGTGGCTCTCCATCAGGTTTTGTGTATATTTAAATCTTAAACAATCTTAAATAGTGTTAATTAAGTCTGTACAATGTCTGCGGGCAAAAAAAAGGTTAGAGTCACTAAGGTAAAGCATCTCAGGTCACTGGAATAATATGACTGGGAAAAGAAGTTCCCTTCTACTTACCCTACATTTCACAGCAAGCCACACCTCAGCTTTGCCTGGAGCTATTTCGCTTTCAAATTCACCCCCAGAAGGGAACTTGGGTACAATCTTAATTCGTATTAAAAATGTACAGTTATTAACTGATATAAATCAGTACAGTTTGACGTTTAAAATACACTAAGCACGGCTGTGCCTTTCTGATTCTGACACTGCAGTTTTCTGCAGAGCAGGAGCTGTCAGAGGTTTGGTTAAAGATAGGTTCAAGCCACAGGAACTTTTGAGTTGTGGCACGAACAAGACTCCTAAAATGAGAAGACTAGAACACTTTGCGTGGTAAGCATACATATTTATGTTTTACACCCGCTGCCTTAAAGCAGAAATCTTAAATAAGACTTCTTATGTATGTCTGAGGACTGAAGAAGAAATCGTGCAACTGTACAGGCTGTTTAAAAAAAAAAAATCACAACCAAACAATCAACTGTAAGGACTGGAGTAAGATTTCAAACTAATCCTGCAGAAAAGTATTCAGATGAGTGAGGCTTCACTGGAGACTTAACTAAATTACAGGATTTGTCCAATAAGGAATGAACCCTGCCAGGATCTGAGGAAAAAAAATAAAAAACCGTGCCATCCGAGACACTTTTATAGCCTATACACATGAAGTTTAAGAATGGGTGGTTTGTGCTGATGTATTTATGCCAACACCAGCCCCGCTTCAGGCACAGACCCGGAGAGTTTCCCTCAGCCGACAACCTCAAACCCAACCAAAAGAACCCTTTGATTTTTTGTACCGCGGATGGCTAGTTTTAGGCGCACGCCGTTCTAAAGGCAGGGAAGCTCCCGGTAAGAAACGGCCGAGGAAGAGCTGAGAGGATCCTGTGAGGCCTCACGGCGCCGGGCCTGAGGAGGGAGCTCCTTCCCTCCCTGTCCCACACTTTTATAGCCTATACACATGAAGTTTAAGAATGGGTGGTTTGTGCTGATGTATTTATGCCAACACCAGCCCCGCTTCAGGCACAGACCCGGAGAGTTTCCCTCAGCCGACAACCTCAAACCCAACCAAAAGAACCCTTTGATTTTTTGTACCGCGGATGGCTAGTTTTAGGCGCACGCCGTTCTAAAGGCAGGGAAGCTCCCGGTAAGAAACGGCCGAGGAAGAGCTGAGAGGATCCTGTGAGGCCTCACGGCGCCGGGCCTGGGGAGGGAGCTCCTTCCCTCCCTGCCCCCCCCCCCTCCCGCCATTGAGAGGCCCAAACAGGCGGGAAGCGCCCGGAAAAGGCCCTGTCCCTCCGTCTTGCCCGCAACCTAACCCACCGAGCTCTCCGAGGA